GTGGAACGGAAAGAGAACGGTGGCAGCTGCAGCAGCCGGTGGCCTCATGGGTTCTTGATGGAGGGTGCCCTTTTGCTCCGCCTGGAACAGGGGTGTACGATGTAAGGCTGCCTCAGCTGGTCCATTTTACACCAGCTGGAGCTGGGGCCACCTACAGTGCTATTTTTAGTACTGAGGTCCTTGAGGGACCAGGACTATGGTACTAAAAATAGTATCATGAGGGGCCTCTGTTCCAATCTCGGCACACAGTCCTGCCCCTGGAGCAGCTGGGGCTGGGACCATGGTAGTAAAAATATCACCGTGGCCCCTGTTCCAGCCCCCACTCCAGCCCCCCAAACTGCTTTTCACATCGAAGGTAGAAAGTTGGGGAAGGGGTAGGGGGAGAACTAAGGTGAAGGTGGGTGAGAAGAAGAAGGTGCTTATACTGAGGGGAGAGGAAGGTCTGGGACAGGAGAAGAAGGGAGAAGGCACTAAGGGGCAGGGTGGAAGAGACACAAATGCTAGGGGGCCAAAAGGAGACATGAGAAAAAGGGCAGGAGCAGGGAGGGAAGGTGTCAGTGGAAGTGCCAGAAGGAAGGAGACAGGGTGATGCTGGGAGAAGATAAGGGAGGAACAATGGGGGCAAGAGGAAGGAAGAAAAGAGGGAAGGAATAGGTGCCAGGAGAAGAGGGGTTGAAAGGAAGGGTAGGCATGAGGAAGGCAGGGGATGTAGCAAGTCATGTGTGAGGACACAGAGGGACATGAGTAGAACTGGGGCAGAGGGTGATGAGGCAGTGGGCACCAGGGAGAAAGAGGGTAAGGAGGGCAGGGGCAATGAGGGAAGGGGGAGTCACCAGGAAGATGCAGGTTCCAGAAGGGTCATGGGGGTGAAGCAGAAAGGCAGACACAAGGAGGGGAGGGGATTTAAATATCCCGGGCTTCATTTGCATGTTCCCGGGCGCTGCCATTTTTAAATCCCATGAGGAATAACAGTTAATTTGAACTAAGGAGTTAGTTCGAATTAACATTTAACTGCCACGTCTAGCCACGGGCAGTTAGTTCGGACTAAGGGGGATTTAAAAACTAACAAGCTAGTGTAGACATACCCTAGATGAGGTGAGGGGAGGGTGGGGGACATGGCAGCAGAAGGGAAAAGGGAGAGGTTTATAAGATATTTATTAATAATTTGGGTGCCACAAGGGCACATATCCGAACAAGCACACAAACTCAATAATGGTACACAAGACAAAACTCACTCCTCTCATGGGGACTGTTCTCCACCCCCTGTCAAAAATAAAGAAAACATTGAAACCTTTTGTATTGGACATAAATTAATATTTTATTTTATTTTATTTAAAATGAACTTTGATAAACTAACATGAAAAGTTAAAATGCTTAGTCTGTTTAATAATTTAAATTAAACCATTCTCCCTAGCTGCAGCACTAGCAAAATGGCTTGGACATAATTATGTAATTAACAGTGAGGTTCCATTAGCAACTGGTGGTCTGTGAAAAGGTTTGCATTGACCCAGGCGGTCCACTGGGTGTACAATAGAGAGAGTCCCTTCTCCCACTCCTGGGAGAGGGGCACGTCACATGTCAGGAAGGCTAAATGTTGGCACACCACTTTGGAAAGGTTGCCAACCGCTGGCTTTCAGTATGTAACTCCAACTACACAAAATGCATACCAAGAGTTGACTTACCTTAAGCTAAACCATGGTGTTGTCCACACAGCAGGAGACCAACAGGAGCAAATACTCCTGTCTGCTTCCCTTACTACTTGCAGAAGGAAGAGTACCAGATGCTGGCAGGGGCTGCCCTCTGTGTTCAATGTATGGGTCTAAATAAGACCCACTAAATTGAAGGCTAGAAGATTGACCAGAGCACTGATCTTCTTGTAAGTATATATGTCCCCTCAGGGTCTGACTTAGGGATGTAAGCGACTAGTCAACTACCTAATAAGCATATGCTTATCAGATAGCTGAGTAGCGACTTCATTAGTCACTTCCTCACGCTTGCTGTCTCTATCAATCAGAGAAAGGGCAGCAAGGGGAGTGAGCAGGATCCAGTGCTGGGGGGAGCAGGCTTAAAAGCCAGTTCCTCCCAGCACCATCTCTGGAGGGCAAAACAGGCAAAGGCGCAGCAGTGGACCAGGAGCAAGCTGGGAATCTGCTGTCCTGCCTCGCTCCTGGTCCCTTCTCCCCCACTGAGCATCTGCTTGTTAAATATATTAAGAACCAACAGACTCTTCATACATTTAAAAAGCAGATGCGCAGTAGGGGGGACCAGGAGCGAGGCAAGACAATTGATTCCCAGCTCCCACATGGTCCCCACCACTACATCTCTGCCTTTTAAATGTATTAGGAGCCTGGCCACTCTTAATACGTTTAAAAATCAGAGCCACAGCAGGGTTAGCTCCTAGGCTGAGCACTAACTCTGCTGTGGCTCTGCAGTTTCCTCTTATCAACTAACCCAGTAGTTGATGGATTAGCTGATTACCCACAATTTAACATCCATAGTATGTTAAACATCCGTAGCATGTTGCATGTTGTTTGTGAGAGACAAGGGTGCCATTTCAAGAGGGATGGGGGGGAGCAGCAACTGTGCACTCCGGGATGCGACTAGCTTTTCATCCCATTCCCCAGACGCTAAGGTAGTGAGGGGAAAATGCTTGCATTCTATGCATGTCTCTCACATCTGGCTGATGAGTTTCCTTCACCAGCCAGGTGTGAGAGGAATGCATGGAGTGCAAGCACTTTCCCCCTGACTCCTTTAGCATCCGGGGAACCAGATGAAAAGCAAGCCGTGTCCTGAAGCGCACAGCTGGTGCCACCGCTACCCTTCCGAAATGGCACCCTTGGTGGAAGGAGCAGATGGGATGCTTCATCAGCAAAGCATTATGACCCAAGATTGCAGAGTAAATGGTGACAAAGCTCCTCATTTGTCTGGCTTGTACCTGGAATGTAGTAACAATAAGAGCAGGTACCATCAAATTAACTGTTCTTCTTGCAATATAGATTTTAAAGGTATCATTTATGAATTAGAAGCAAAACTAATGGATTTATAGTGTGACAGAGTCAGGCCAGAGGGGTACAGGAGATTGGTGAAGGGGAAGTATATTAGCCCTAGATTGAGTAAGTCTCTGTTCCCAGCATAAACTAACAAGAGCTAGTCCAGAACCAGCAGGAAGTTGCCAGAATCAATCAGGGCAATTAAGCCATTTCCAGCATCAAGTGAGTCAGACTATTCAGAACACTTAGGCCAATTATGAACAGTTGATTCTGGTTAAAAGGAGCTCCTCTTCAGTTAGTTCAGTGTGTGATGAAAGAACTGATGAGAGACAGTGTGGTAGAGAGTCTGCAAGGAGAAAGTTCAGGAAGATACCAGGAGGAAGTACTACCAGTAAGGGAGCTGGTGAGGAAAACTATGGGAAAGTAGCCCAGGGATTTGAAGCTGCCTCATAGCTGTTCCCTGAAACATTGTAGACAGCTGCTATTACAGAGTTCTTAGGCTAGAACCCAGAGTAGGGGGCAGGCCCAGGATCCCATCCCCATATATTCCCCTGTTTCAGTACAGGTTGTACCTCCAAAATCTGGAACTCTCTGGGTCAGACCACGGATGATCCTGGAGCAAAGAGCCTGGGAGCATAAGGGCAGGAGGGACATCAGAATTAGCAGCCTGGCTGGGGGCAGCACGGGACTGGAGCCAAAGCCCTCCAGCAGCCCCCAGGAGTGTGGGATCGGGGCCAGAGCTCCATGACTTTCTCCATTCCCCCAACTGTGCAGGGCTGGGCTGGTGCTGCGTGGGGATAGATCTGGAGTCCTGCGGCTTCCCATGGCTATGCAGAGCTGGGGTGGGGCCCCACAGGGAGGGGTCTGGAGCCCTATAGCTTTTCACAGCTGTGTGGAGCTGGGACTGCACAGGGATGGGGTCAGAGCCCCCGGCCCTGCAGCTGCTCCCAGTTGCACAGGAATGGAAACCTGCAGCAGGAGCTGGAGTCTGTGCTTCCCGGGGAGCCAGCAGTAGCTGGGCAAGATGCCCAGGAAAGTTGGGGCTGGGGGGGCGGGTTGCCCACTGGGGAAACCCTCCAGCAGCAGATGATGGGCTTCGGGACCACGGGCAGGAGACCTCCTCAGGTCTGGCAAATTCTCTTGTTTGGGACTGGTCAGGTCCTAATGATGCTGGACCAGAAAGGTCCAACCTGTATTAGAAAGAGTCTGACTTTGTCACAATGGTTTGTCACCACTTGGAGGGCCCTGTACCACTTGGAGGGTCATGAAGACTATGAAGTTTGGTTTCCCCTCTATTTCCCCATGCTGGACAGTGATGAGAGTAGCTCAACAAACAGCAAGCTGGTGTCTAAATTGAGGGCTGCTGTGAGCCTCTGAGGCAAGCAATCTGCCTGAAAGTGCATGACTCCCCAAGGTTTGGGAGGAGCTGTGTCACAGTAGATATAATAAATTCCTTAATGAAGTTATTGTTTAGTGTCAATTGCATTCTGTAGGGGTTAATTGTGGAAGAACTCTGTACATGTGAAGTATATGGGTGGTGAGGCATGCATTACCCCTCTTCTCCTATATCTGATGAGCCAGAAGCAAGCCTCTAGGTCCAGGAACATATGCCAAGGTAAGCAGTGGTGCCATTGTAGCAAGAACAAGTTATAGACTCATAGACTTTAAGGTCAGAAGGGACCATTATGATCATCTAGTCTGACCCCCTGCACAGTGCAGGCCACAGAATCTCACCCACCCCTCCCAGAATAATCCTCTCACCTATATCTCAGATATTGAAGCCTTCAAATACTTTGAAGACCCCAAGATACAGAGAATCCTCTAGCTGTGACCTGTACCCCATGCTACAGAGGAAGGCGAAAAACCTCCAGGGCCTCTGCCAAGCTACCCTGGAGGAAAATTCCTTCCCAACCCCAAATATGGCGATCAGCTAAACCCTGAGCATGTGGGCAAGACTCAGCAGCCAGACACCCAGAAAGTTCTCTATAGTAACTCCTATCATCCCTCCATTGACCTATTCCCACTGATAATGAATGGTCAATTAGTTACCAAGATCACGTTATCTCATCAAACCAGGAACATATAACAATCTAGTTTACCCAGATGTACTGATTATGTAAATAAGGTCAAAGGACAAAGGACAAATAGTACCAGATCGATAGTTAACAGCTAAGCCATACATAAGCAAGTAATAAGTAACCCCTGGAAATTTCCAGACTGCAAAACAAGGTAGACACACTGTATTTAAAGCTTCACCACAGTATAGCAATTTGGTCCTCACTGATGGACTCTGATACTGGTGCCTCGGAAGCCTAGGCAACCTCCGGCCTCATCCACAGCTGAAACGGGGTTCCCAGCTTGCAGAAGGGATGGAAGATGCCGCTTTTCCTATCATGTTGTTCTTTCAGTTAAGGGGTACAGCTGAAAACTGTCAAGAAATAAACTGCTTGTGTTTGACAGATACTTGTGTAGCGTGTTTTGTACCTTGAGAACCCAGTGTCGGACCTGAGACTTACTCTTGCCAGCAACACAGTCCTTTGTTTTAGAAGACTAACGAAAAAACCTTTTTAAAAGGTAGGTAATCTTACACAGACTATTTTGGTAAAGTACGTATATTTTGCCTTTTAAACTTTCACGCTTTCTGATAAGTATTCTCAGCTAGTCACACACCTGCTTTCAATTACTGTCTTTATTCCTTACATCTGTGCTAACGACCTAATTTCTAGTCCATTTTGCAACATTCACCAGTTCCACATTTCATATAACTGAGTTTATACACCAAGGAGATGAACACTCAGATGTAGGGTCAAAATATTAAACTGAATCTTCCCACAGCTAATCTCAGTGTCTGTATCTGCAGCTGGGTGTGGCCCTGCCTGCCCACTTTGGTGTAGGAGGCTTTAGAGCAGTTGTGGGCAACCTGTGGTCCATCAGTGTAATCAGATTGTTGGGCACGATTCATTTTGCTAAACATTGACTGTCCACAGGCACTGCCCCCTGCAGCTCTCTGGGGCCATGTTTTACCATTCCCAGCCAATGGGAGCTGTGTGAAGCAGTGTGGGCCACAGGGATATGCTGGCCACTGCTTCCCACAGTTTCCCATTGGCTAGGAACCACTGGGGACTATGAGGGGCGGTGCCTGCAGACAATCAATGTAAAGAAAATGTCTTGCAGCCTTCAATCAGATTACCTTGATAGGCCACAGGTTCAGAGCCTGACATAGCAAGTCCAGGTAAAGGGGGCCCAAACTGACAGAAAAGGTGAGCTCAGCAGTATCTTCATTACATCAGTTGGCATCCACAAGGGGTCCAGCGTGTCACAGCCACAACACAACCTTGGAATAGCCTTGCGCAACTTCAGTTCCATTTAAGTACAATCTGCTAAAAGTTAAAGATGGAGAGTTTGATTTAATTCTGCTTAGTACTGTAAAGAGCATTCTTACAGTCTTCTATTCAAGGCAGATAGCTCTAGTTTCAGTTCAGTTCAGCATCACAAGCTCCTTAATTTGCAGAGATCATTTCTTTACAGTTCATTGATGCAGAATTAATCCATCCAAAAGTCCAAGACCAGCAAACTTGAGTTACAGAGAAGGATGTTAAACTTTGGCAAGCTACAGGAAAATGTTTTAATCGATTAGCACCATCTAGTGGGATCAATGTAATTTATTTGTGATGAGAAACAAGCTGCTTAATGTTCAGATCACTTTAATTCTATCACCATGTAATGCAATCAATTTTTCAAATAATTATTAAAATCCATAACAATATCATTTTCTAAATATAAACTAAAGCAATTCAAATGCTGACATAAAAGCAGAATATTCAAAAAATAACAATGTTATTGTAAAATGTCAAGAGAACACACGCTGGAATTGGAAGCTATAAGTATATACATATTAGCAGGGCTCGACAATCACTCAATCGACTCGCCCGTGGCGAGTAGATTTCAGCCGGTCACCTCATTCACCAGCAGCACGCGCATGTGCGATGCAGGTCTTGCCCATGCACAGTGCGGGGCTGGTGAGTAGATTTCGTCGCCGTTTGTCATGCCCTGCATATTAGAGATGTAAAAAATTGTTTAAAAATGTAATTAGGTAGCCACTAAAAACCATAATGGTTACACGTGCTGTGGGCTCTGTAGTATAAAGCTTAGTAAGCTTTATACTGCAGGACCTACAGTGATGATCCCTCCCCAAGAGTGGGGCCAGCAAGGCTACTGCCAGTCTTGCTCCTGGGGAGGTGGCTTTGCTGCCGGCTGCTCCTGGGGAGCTTCCACATAACCTACAGTGAGAAGGTCAGGCTGGACCTGCCACAAACAGGGGCTCCTCTGGCAGGACCCATGGGCTCTAGTAATTGCCCGCCCAGGGTGGATGGGGAGCTGCTCTAGTCCCTGTTGGTTAACCAAAACCAGTAAGCTTCACCCGATAATGGTGAATCTTACTGGTTAACCATATTCATCTATACCTATGCATATTTATGCACATACATATATACGGAATCATAGAGTCATAGAACACTAGAACTAGAAGGAACCTCGAGAGGTCGAGTCCAGTCTCCTGACCTCACAGCAGGACCCAGTACCTTCTAGACCAGGGCTACTCAACTTTGGAAGACATCGGGGCCACAATTATATTCACCGCACATGCTGAGGGCCGCAACTCAAGTATGGTATATATACACGCAAATATATATGCAAACAGCATCTTTTACACTGACGGGAATGAATACAAAGATTAAGGCAAGACCACACAACACACAAGCCCCATTTAAGTCAGTTCTGCTAATAATAATAAAATGCATTATTTACCCAATTTCCACCCATATGACAGCACTTTTCACGAGCAATGACAATCTAGGAATTTAACTACTAAAACACATATCAACAGATGTCCATTATATGGACTTTTTTTTTTTGTTTTGGCTCCCACTCGCAGGCCACAAACAAATGGGCTGCGGGCCACATGCAGCCCACGGGCCATGTGTTGAGTAACCCAGTTCTAGACTATCCATGATAGATGTTTATCTAACCTGCTCTTGAATATCTCCAGAGATGGAAATTTCACAACCTCCTTAGGCAACTTATTCCAGTGTTTAACCACCCTGACAGTTAGGAAGTTTTTCCTAATGTCCAACCTAAACCTCCCATGCTGCAGTTTAAACCCATTGCTTCTTGTCCCATCCTCAGAGGCCAAAGAGAATAATTTTTCTCCTTCCTCTTTGTGACACCCTTTTAGATACGTAAGAACTGCTACCATGTCTCCTCTCAGACTTTTCCTTTCCAAACTAAACAAGCCCAATTCTTTCAGTCTTCCTTCATAGGTTATGTTCTCTAGACCTTTAATCATTCCTTGTTGCTCTTCTCTGGACCTTCTCCAATTTCTCCACATCTTTCTTGAAATGTGGTGCCCAGAACTGGACACAATACTCCAACTGAGGCCTAATCAGAGCACAGCAGAGCAGAAGAATGACTTCTCATGTCTTGCTCTCAACACTTCTGTTAATGCATCCCAGAATCATGTTTGCTTTTTTGCAACAGCATCACACTGTTGGCTCAAATTCAGCTTGTGGTTCACTATGACCCCTAGATCCCTATCTGCTGTACTCCTTCCTAGAGAAGTTGCTTCCCATTCTGTCTGTGTGAAACAGATTGTTCCTTCCTAAGTGGAGTATCTTCTTTCTATTTAGCTATATATCTTAGAGTACATCTGAGCATGTCTGAATCCATCTAAGTTTGAGAGTCCATTTGTTCAAGAACTCTTCCTAAATGGTAAGAGCTAGAACCACCAAATTTGGTGTGCAGCTTTCTCTTACACTAACTTAAAACTAGGGTCAGGGTTTGACTGTGCCCAGCAAACAGCAAGTGCCATGAATGGGATTATTTTCCATAACATGGAAAAGGAGGGGGCAGAGAACAGAGGGATGCAAAAAGGAGGGGCACAGAGAAGAGGGATATGATACTGAGAGTGGGCACTGGGGGCAGCTGCAGCACCAAGAGACTAGCTAGTGTGGCTGGCCCTCCGCCATCTTGCCTGCTCACAGTCTGGGTGAGTAGAACTCTTCCCAAAACCTGGATCCTAGTCTTCCCCCACCCCCCATGGAGCCTTGCAGGTCACAGGGGGTCAGGTACTGGAGGAAGGGACTACTCTCAGAGCCTGGCCCCTCCCCAGATAGCCTTTAGGACACAAGAGGGGCCACTGGAGGGGGGAGCTGCCCCTGGAAGCTGCCCCCCCCCCAAGAAAGCCTGCAGGCTGGGGAAGGAGGAGCAGCCCCCAGATCCTCCCCCCAGCCAACCTACAGGTTGCGGGCGGGCCGCTAGAGGCTAGGGGCAGCCCCCTTGAGCCTGGCCCCTCCCCAGACAGCCTGCAGGCAACAGCGGGACTGTTGGAGGGTGGAGCGGCTGCTGGGAGACTGGAGTGTTTTGATGTGCATTGATGCTCCTGGAGGATTGAAAGTTTTGCACCCATTTCTTAAATGTTTTCGTCCATTGGTCCTGTCCTGTCACACTGCCTGAGGGCATTGTTTTACCATGCGTCATCAGAAATTGGAGAAGGTCCAGAGAAGAGCAACAAAAATCATTAAAGGTCTAAAAACGTGACCTATGAGAGTAGAGTGAAAGAACTGGGTTTGTTTAGTGTAGAAAAGATAAGACTGAGAGAGAACATGATAGCAGTTTTCAAGTACCTAAAAGGGTGTGACAAAGAAGAGAAAAATTGTTCCCTTGGCCTCGGAGGATACGACAAGAAGCAATGGGCTTAAACTGCAGCAAGGGAGATTTAGGTTGGACATTAGGAAAAACAAACCCAGAAACCTATAGTGTCTCAAAAGTCCATGGCATTTTGCATGTATATGAGCATAATTTGTACAAGGAGCCCAAAACTTGTTCATGTATGAGGACTTGATAAGGGCTTATGCTTCATATAGTGAGATAGCATATTTAAAGTATGGCAGAGAATTTAGACACAGGGTAGCAGAGGAGCCTGATTTACCCTCAAGGTAAAATAGATTAGAACTTGGCCTTGACTGTGTGATTGCTTATCACAGGGGTGGGCAATAATTTTTGATGGGGGCCACTCCAAGACTTTAGAAAGTGGTCAAGGGCTGCACTCTTCCATGATAATAATGGAAATGTGGAGTCTAAAAGGAGGTTGGGTGGAGAAAAGCACATGAGATAAGGGACTGGGGTGCAGGAGATGGTGTGAGGTCAGAGGGAGTTTGCGTGAAGGAGAGGGTGGTGACCTGGGTCAGGGGAATGGGGTGCAGGGTCTGTCAGGGTGATTGGGTGCAAGAGAGGATTCTTTCCTGAGGGAAACGTGTAGGAGGGGGTATAGGATTTGGGAGGGAGTTGTGACCTGGGGCAGGGGGGGTGTGCAACAGGTTTGGATGGTGACATGGGAGAGGGCGTTGGGGTGCAAAAGAGGCAGAGGTGCAGGAGGGGCAGGCTCTGGCTGGGAGGTGCTTACGTATGTGTCTCCTGGCTAGCAGCCCTGCAGCACCCCCAAGGCAGGCTGAGCTCCCTGCATCCTCAGATGCTTAAAACTTCAGGCTGCTCCCTCCATATGGCTCTCAGCTCCAGGAGCGGGAAGAGGCTTGCGTTGCCCTCATCCCCCAGGCCAATCTCTCAGCTCCTATTGGCTGGTTGTTTCCTCCAGTCCACAAGTCCCAGTGCTTTAGGACATGTCATAGGAGAGGCAGTAACAATGGGCAAGTTAAAATACAGGTGCTGTAAAATTTGTTATTGAATTATCCCAGAAAAAGAGATGAAGCTTATTCCTGGAATGGATTTTTGGCTGTTTCTAAAATCCAATATGGGGGACTGAGATATCATTCCTGAGTAGAAAACCTGAAGTCAGTTAAAGTCTTCAAGCATATGGGAAGGGAAAGATAACCTTCAAAATGTCAGCAAGAAGAGCTGCAGGCCTCTTTCCATGCATTTGGATACCAAAATTGCACATCCGGGTGTATAGTACCAAAGAAGGTGAAAGGAGAATACAAGCTTATCCACCATCCACTCTTCCCTGCAGCTCATTGGTAAATTACTATATTCACTGCCCCATTGTGTTCAGTTACTCATCATTTGATGCTGTGGCAGTTATGATTAAAAAGTGTGGACCCCGGGAGATCTTTGAAAAACAGGACATCAAGTCTGCATTCTGACTGAGTGTAGAGTATCCTAGGGACAGTTTGAAAGCCACCACTATTTTGATAAAACTATGCACATGGTGTGCTCGAGTGTCATGTACTGCTTTTGAAAGATTCAAAGGCCCTGCCCAAAGTTTAACACTGTTGTTTTCAAACTTTTTTCTTATGACCCAGTTGAAGAAAATCGTTGATGTCAGCAACCCAATATACTTTGACTAAAATATGAGCTCCAGAGTGGGACTGAGGATGAGAGAGTATTGGCATATAGGAGGGGTCAGCAGTGCAGCGGGGGTGCTAAGGTAGGCTTTCTGCCTTTCTTGGCACCACAAATCATGCTGAATCCTAGAAGGAGCCAGGAACAGGTCCCCAGCCAATGGGAGTATGGAGGTAATGCTCAGAGCAGGGGCAGTGCACGGAGCCCTGTGTGCTCTCCTCCCTCCCCCCAGGAGCCCAGCCTGTTGCCAGCTGCTTCTGGGGTGCAGCATAGTCTGCAGTGCCAGGACAGGCAGGTAGCCTGCCTTAGCACCCCCACTGGTCACTTGATCACCCTGCAGCAATGAGACCCAGTGCCTGACATTCCTCTACCACTGGGCTGTGAACCATAATTTGAAAACCACTGGTTTAACATACCTGGGCACCAAATTAAACTGTTTACCTGTGGAGTTTACCTATGGAGAAGAGGAAATTGGACAAGCCATTGATATAGGCTCTCAAAGGCATAAAGAAAATTACTCTGAAATCTCCAAGTCAGGAATAGCTCCCAGAAAGGCATTTATTGTCTTTGTTACATCTGCATGCATCTGCTGCATGAAATTCCCCACCACTGTGTCAGAATGACAAGGGAAATGAAGGAAGACTCGTGTGTGGGAAAGATTCATGGAAGAATTTAATAGGGTTTCAATATGATGTTCAGACCAGTTGTATTATAGCTACTCTTGAGCAACCTGACCCTTCAGGAGGCATAGGTTTTGGGGTCTACTTTAGAAGCAGCCAGAAAGTTGGGTAGCTCAGGACAAGGGACGTATTTTTCCCCTTATACTGGTGGCAATGACTATTTGGAGAGAACTTTTTGAACTAAAAAGCCCAATTCTAGTGTAACTACAGGTAGAAACTTTCTTAACTGGGATTCTCTGGTCCAACAACATCCATAGTCCGGCATAGATGTTGCAGGGTCACAGAGTCCCGGTGGAGAGCCCACAGTGCTAATGGCAAGGTGACCCATCATGTGGCAGCGGGGCTGCCCTGCAGGGCTGAGAGCCCTCATGAGCAGGGCTGCCCAGCAGAGCCATGGCAGCAATGGCTGCCTAGCAGGTTGGCAGGGCAGCAGGAGGTGGGGAGCCAGCTAGGAGGACAGCAGCAGGCCTAGGGGGGCCAGTGGCAAGGGCACAAAAATGACCTCCCCTGTTCTGGCAAAATCCCTCATCTGGGACCAGTCAGATCCTGACGGTGCCAGACCAGGGAGGTCCAACCTGTGGTACATAATATGAACAGGCAGTCTGCTGAAAATAAGGCTGGTGAGGCCCTTCGATTTACACTGCCTGCAGTTACACATTCTTTTTCATGCAGTGCATGTCTCAGGAGTGCGAATACTCTGTCTCAATTTAAGAACCACAGATTCTGGAAACTCAACATGTTTGGCCAGTACAGATGCAGAGTTCCAACAACTCTGGATCCTTGGATGATAACAACTAGGATACTAGTCAAGGATTTGGTTCTTCTGTGAAGACTGGGGACCTATAAAGGACAACCTTTCAGAGTTCACAGAATGGCATTCGTCAGGTACACTATGTGGTGTCTTTAATTCACTGTGGATTGATTCCCTTCACTATCTCTGGTTTGTGTGTTTTTCAAATCCATATAGGCATTTCAAAATACAAAAGCTCTAAGCAGGGTGATCCAGCAGAGACAGGTGACTGAGGGACAACAGTTTACCCATAACACTGGAAAACTTGACTGGGTAATTAAAGGTTTTACCATGGTCTCCAGCTGTAGAAGAGAGGCCATTTTATTTAAGGTGGCATTTGTTGTTACTATCTTGGGCACTTTTAGAGTGAGTGAGTTGGTGCCTATGACAGCTGTGGCAGTGGGCAGTTGTAGTGTGCGTTAAACCTAACAGATGTGCAACTATAGGTGGAAGAAAAGCCCCTACACTTTAGGTACCCAAAAGCAACACAGAAGGGGCACAGGGGCTTATGTGGTATTGAAGGAATATGCAAATGAACACCTATATTCTTCAAAAGAAATAAGAACCTTATTAAAAGTCTAGAGCCCGCAGCCTAGCTTGCTGTTCATAAACAGTGATGGCAGATTCCCGATAACATACAAATTTGGCATGGTACTGAGAAAAACCTTGTGCTAATGAGAATTTCACTCATCCTTCCAGGAGTGGGACAACATCAGTGGATGCAGGTGTTTTGGCTTGTGGCAGAAGCAGACAGTAGGATGCTGGAAGTCAAGATATTGCAAGACTTACATCCACACCAAGGAACTGACAAGGAACAGTTAAAATGTAACTTACCCATAGCACTTGTTTTTTTCAGAAACTGTTTGTTCAGAGCATATACAATATTTGGATTTGCAGGCACTGTACTGTACACTGAGCCCATAAAAAAGCAACCAGGACAACAGCGAGGTCTCAGCTAATCTTCAGGGCCTGAATGGCATGAGTTGATCCAAGTGCAGAACTTTTCTGCATCCATTGGTTTAGCAAAAAAGTCCTGCACTGGAATTAGCTCACGCTACTTCTGATCCACTGACAAACAACTCAGGAAAGATCATCTTGGGAGTTTTACCAGGATCAGGTTCCGCAAAACAATCTATAAGTATATTTGTTTGATTATACAATCATAGCCAGAGCTAAGGCTAGTATGATCAGAAATGCTTGCAAAGCAGATTTGGAAGGGAACTATAGACCCTAGTCTGTATATGCTAAGCTAGAAAATGAATATATCAGTTACCAAGATATTCCTAAACACAGAGGATTAAAAGTGATACAGAACAAAGACATCAGTCATGATTAGCCTGAATTTTTCCAGGATAATGGCATACAGTTGACAGATGTGGTGTTGATGTATGCCTAAAGAATCTGAGGGAACATAATGGGCAGAAATTGTGACACCAGGAAGTGTGGTTGTCGGGGAATAGCAAAGGTAGTATCTGGCACCCTCTGTGACTGGCTACCAGTGCAGTTGAAAGGATAAATTGAAAGGCTGCCAGAAGTAAAATATCTGGAATTTTGGTGATGTATCTTGGGCTGATGGGACAGAGTGAGACCTTGTGAATCTTGTGGGCTGAAGCCAGACCTTTGTGGTCCTCGCAGGCCTCTGTCCTTACCAGTGTTTGCTCTAATTTTTTCCATCCATGTGCAGAATAAATTTTGTTACGTGCACTGAGCCATATGCAGATGTGCACCACCAACAGAAATACAAGCTGCCAGCTGTGGGTGCTTTGCCAATCAGCTGGGTAGCACCTAAATCTCTCCTCCGCAGCCACCCAAGCACTCAGCTTACAGGGAACACTGGTCCTTGCCCTTCTGCCTTCTGGGAGGCAGTTGTTCTGGACCAGGAGTAGGCCTGGGGTTATTCAGAGGTCTTCCAGGGGGGCCACTCATCTAAATCAGTGTTTCTTAATTGGGGTTGTAGGCTCTGGGGATCATAGGACAGATTTAGGACTGGTGTTCCAGGTTTGTAAGCAAGGCAATTGCCTGGGGACCCACACCGAAGGGGGTCCCACAAAGCTAAGTTACATACTTCAGCCATAGGCAATTGGGCTTTGGCTTCAGACAAGGCTCACAAGTAACAAAAAGGCTCAAGTTTCACACTGAAATGTATGTACAACATTTATATTTCAATCTATTTATTTTAAAATTATATGGTAAAAATGAAAAAGTAATTTGTTCAGTAATAGTGTGCTGTGACACTTTTTTGTGTCTAACTTTGCAAGCAAGTGATTTTAAGCAAGGTGAAACTTGGGGACACGCAAGACCAATCAGACTCCTGTAAGGGGTACAATAGTTTAGAAAAGTGATAGAGATGCAGCCGTGTTAGTCTGGTGTAGCTGAAATAAAAGACAGAACTATGTAGCACTTTAAAGACTAACAAGATGGTTTATTAAGTGATGAGCTTTCGTGGGCCAGACCCACTTCCTCAGATCAATATGTGGAAGAAAATCAACACAACCATAGTTTAGAAAGGTTGAGAACCACTGTGGTAAGGAACAACAGTGCCCACACTAGAACCAATTAAATGCTTGTTACATTAGAGTAGGGGTGATGAGCATGCAGTGCTCCTCACCCATGTTAAATTTTAATAAAAGCTGTGGCCTGTATGGTCTGTTCGCATTTTAGCGTGTCCACATCAAAGGCAAAATTAAGACTAGCAACAAAGAGACAAAAACAACAAATGGTCTGGTAGCACTTTATAGACTAACAAAACATGTAGATGGTATCATGAGCTTTCGAGGACACAGCCCACTTCTTCAGATGACCAGAGTTATGAGTTTGGGGTGTGCACACCCAAAATAAATAGGCGAGGGGAAGAGGAAAAAAGAAAGGAGGGTGGGAGACAGAGAGCTAGAGGGAATCAGTAAGTATCTGAATATATTGCTATATATGGTTGTGACAATTTTCTTCCACTATTTGATCTGAGGAAGTGGGTCTAGCCCACGAAAGCTCATCACCTAATAAACCATCTTGTTAGTCTCTAAAGTGTTACATAGTCCTGTTTTTTGTTTTATCTGAAGATTGGGTAGTTAAAACGAAGCAGATAAGAATCAAAGTCAATAGATAGTATCCTTCCTGACATGGGAGTCTACATGAAGGACTGTTTGCACCTTCAATGGCTGTTAAGTTGGTAGTGTCCCAATCATCACGATTGAGTCTATTAGCATGTGAATTGAATTTGCAGATGAACTCTAATTCCAATGTTTCCCTGTGGATCTGACTTGTAGAACTGGTTTGTGACAAGACAGTTACCGGAAGATCTTTTAAACAGTGATTTGAAAGGTTGAAGTATTCCCCAATAGATTTCTGTATGTTTCCTTTACGTATATCTGATTTTGTCCATTGATTCTTTCCTGCAGAGACTGTCCAGTTGTCCAATATATATATATAGCAGTGGGGCACTGCTGGCATTTGATAGCATTGATTAAATTACTGGATGTGCAGTCAAATGACCTTTTGATTTGGTAACTTGTGTTGTTTGCTCCAGTGATGAATTCACCAGTATAGATATGTGGGCAGAGTTGGCATGGTTTTTGGTTGCAGAGCTGGGTTCCTGGAGGCTTATGATGTGGTCGTGTGGCATGGTTACCAGAAAGAATTTGTTTCAGTTTGGGGGCTTGTCTGTAAGCAAGAATAGGCTTTTCTCCCAAGGCCTCTGAGAGTGAGGGATCATTTTCCAAGATGAGTTGTAGATTGTATATAATGTGTTGGAGGGGTCTGAATTGTGGACTATAGGTAATAACAAGAGGAGTTCTGTTATTTTCTCTTTTGGGTCTGTCTTGAAGTAGTTCATGCCTGGGTACTTTTTTGGCTCTGTCAATTTGTTTTTTCACAGGGCTGCTGCAAAAGGAAAGGAAACCACTGGGCCAACGACCCTATTCAGTGACAGAAAGAAGGGAGGAGCTCATTGTTTCCAAGTGGGAGAGACAAACAGCAAAGCTAAAGAAAGAACTAAGAAACTGGTAAAAAGCGAATGTTTATAATATAAGAACATGTGCATGCATCTATGAACATTTTGTTACTTGGCATATGCTATGGTGGTAGAGCAGTAGTTAGTTGTAATGACATACTGAGAACTTCAATATGACTATCTTAGTGTTTCTAATGTCAGATTAACATGATTACAACCACGGAATACTTTTTTCGAGAACCTTTGAAAGATTTTGGAACTCAAGTAATACCATGATTTATAGTTTGCTCACGATTAAAACAGCGTGTTTGAGCTCAACAAAACTATAATTGCTTATTTTCTATGAAACCTAATTTATAAAGGACATTACTAAAGTTATTCTATGGAAATAATAGATATCTATATTAAATATACAGCACTAGCGAAGCAATCAACCTACATATTTTTAGAGGATTCTTTTCAACCTACACTGAAGGCTAAAAAAAAGTTAAGTTATAGTCACTAACCAAATGAAATCACTGTTGGCATATAAGCATTGCAATTCGGGACTTCTGGCAAATATCAACAAGAAGCAAATCAGAAAGACAGATTTGGCAGACCACTTAGATCCATTTTTCAACAGACAAAAAACAAGAATGCTTCTTTTGTTGTTTTTGTTTTTTTATAGTCAACACACTGTTCTTCTTAAAAGGTCACACTATACCTAGAAATCTGGTTTGGACACTCACACTTCAGTAATTTGACAAAAAAGTACCATGGGGGAAGAAAGAAGAATTGTTGGCTCCAAAACTCAAACTTCTTGCACACAAGAATAAGAATTATTTAGCCTCAGAATAGAGGGAGAGAGGGGCAGGGGAGAGAAAGTCAACCAGTAGAACCATCCACTAACTTGGAGCTAAATATCAGGAAATATCTACTTTGATTCAGGATTCTCTGAAAGAAAGTCAATTTTCAGGTTAAAAACTGATCCACATTGTACCAACCCAGAAAGATGGATGCAGCCAATAAACTTTGAGAAGTAAATAAAATTAACTGTACTACAAAACTGATCATAGTTTTCTATTTTATGACCAACTATATGTGCCTGTATTACATCTGAGAGTCAGCAAACCAGGTTTCTCTTCTCAGCTCTCTCACTGACTTGTTTTATCATCTTGAGCAAGTCATTTAACCTCTGTTCCTCAGTTTCCCCATGTGCAAACTGAAGATATTTACTTAACATAAGAATGGCCATACTGGGTCAGATCAAAAATCCATCCAGCCTAGTATCTAGTCTGCTGACAGTGGCCAATGCCAGATGCCCCGGAGGGAGTAAACACATCAGGAACTCATCATGTGATCCTCTCCTATCACCCATTTCCAGATAAACAGAGGCTATGGACACCATTCCTACCCATCCTGGCCTACCCACTGATGGACCTAGCCTCCATGATTTTATCTAGTTCTTTTTTCAACCCTGTGAAAGTCTTGGTCTTCACAACATCCCCTAGCAAGGAGTTCCACATCTTGACTGTGTGGTGTATGAAGAAAAAACTTCCTTTTGTTTGTTTTAAAGCCACTACCGATTAATTTCATTTGGTGGCCTCTAGTTCTTATACAGTAGAGTCCCAATTATCCAACCTAAATGGGACCCATAGGTGGTCGGATTAACAAAAATGTCGGATAATAGGGATTACCTGTAGTTCATTCGGGTGGCCTGGCCCCTTGCCTCCCTGCAGCCCCCCTGCTTGCTGACCCATCGCTGCTGCTGCTGCTCCTGCCGGCACTGCTCAGTCTCCATTCCTGCCTGGCCCCTTCCCTCCCTGCAGCCCCCGAAGCGACGGCGCAGTGAGCAGGGCCATTCTCCCGGCCCGCGCACAGGGGCTCCAGGGAGGGAAGGGGCAAGGCAGGAATGGAGACCGAACAGCGCCGGCAGAAGTAGCAGCAGCAGGGACGCCAGCAGCTGGAGAAGGAGAAATGGGCCAGGTCACATGGCAGGCGGCCAGGGGCAGAGCGGGGTTTTAATTTTGCTTTCAGGAGTCAGCTATGTTGGATAAAGCAGAATGTCAGATTAGTGAAGGTCAGATAATCCAGACTCTACTGTATTATGGGAACAATTAAATAACTTTTCCTTCTTCACTTTTTCCACACGCTATTTACATAGTTTTAGCTCTCCGAGGTACTTATATGGCCTCCTTTATTGTAGTATTGAAACTGCTAATAATCTTTTACGTAGTTATCTTCCTAATATCCCTGTAAATTAGAGAAAGACTACTATCCCCATTTTACAGATGGGCAACCAGAACCTAAAGACAAAAAGGAAGTCGGTGGGGGAGTAAAGAATTAATCCCAAATCTCCAACAACTCATACTAGAGCCCAGTCCACTGGCTCATCCTCTCCTACACTTTTTTGAAATGTTTGGAGATCTATAATTGAAAAGTTTTATAAGGAAGCCTCTCATCTTCCACTTTCACATGCTTAACTTACTGAAATACTTTCTTTTAGTGTTAAGTTTTACAATGCCTAGAATCTACCCACCCCAACATTTATTTTAAATGTTATTTTAGAAAAGTCTGAGCAAAATCCATTCCTGAGTTATGAGAGAACTGAAACTGTAATTTTTAGAGCTAAGTAGGAAAATTTCTTCCAACATCTCAAAAATCTGAGATTTCAAAAATTGCTTCTACCTCAATTTGAGACACAGTAAAAATCTCAAAAGTTGGAATATTTTGACAATTACAAATTGTTCTTAACTTTTTCCTAAATGAAAAACTGGTCAAGTTGGACCCTTTCCTGCAAAAACCTTCAGTGTCAATAAACCAACATCTGCCAAGTTAACGTTTAAAAAAAAAATCCTGGCTCACATCATCACTTCTGTTTAGCATTACAGCTTTAAAAAAAAACCCATCATTAGAATAAGCATACAAAACTCAAGTGTGAAAAATAAAAAATATCCTGGGATTTTATCCCTGGAGAATAGTCCCTTTGGGCTTGGAAAAAAAATGGTATGACTTAAGATAGATAGGAAAAATTTAAATTTGCAAAATGACAGATTGTTGTGTGTGAAATTAATCCCTGCCTAAAGGGACTTATGCTTAAAGCAGATTTAAGTGGTGCATAGGCTTCTGTACAAGGATGATTTTCTCTCTCATTCCACTAAATCAGGAACTGTGCAAGATGCAATCTATATGCTGCTACTTGTATTTTTTATTATTCTCTCTCCATTTTTAGCCTTCTCAAAACTCACTTACAAAATTCTACTGGACATTAACTGTAGGGAACGTCTCAATATTTTCCCACCTGGGACTGTCTTCAACTCACAAGTAAACTGATATGTAACAGATAAATAAAAAGTTAAAATCTGTCTTCTATTCAGATAAATGCATGTCTGTTAATCTTTGAATGCACCATTCTCAATCAGTCTTTTTAAGCAAGTTTAACTTAGGAAAGATTTCACTTTAGAAGACAGAAAGCTCAGGATAGCTTTAAAAAAACCAAGCAATCACTCTAGCTCAGGGTTTCCCAACCTATGGGTCGGGACCCAAATATGGACCGCCATTACATTTCAAAAGGGTTGCCAGATGTCTCCTCAGGTGGCTCTTAAGAAGCCATTCACACATTTTTTGAATTGCTCTGGGTCACCCAGTCTTCCTGAATTGTCAAAATGGGTCCCCATCTGGAAAAGGTTGGGAACCGCTACTCTAGCTGAAGAAAAGGTAGGATTAGAGAAGGTCAGACTCTTACATCAGGTATATTGTGGAGACCATCAAATAATGGGGAAAATATGCAACTTTATTTACAACATGGAAACCGAAGGTGCCACCACTATGACTGCTCCCTCCAAATGAATCCCTAAACTAAATCTTGCTACTGCATTCTCAAGATAGTTAAGTCATAATAATTAATGCAAAATTACTTACCTCCAAAGCACTTAGGTAATTTTTGTAACTTTTTCCAAATCTCATTCTTTCAGATCCTTGTTAGATGTTCAACAGTGAATGGGCACCAAATGTACAATATAAATATACTATGTGTTCACCTACCACACTTTGAGACTAAATATGACTTGTGTTTGAAGTGAACTTCCACAAATCACCACACCTGGGAAGAGAATAGTTGTTTCTACAAAGATGCACAAAGATGGTTTTTTAAAAGTAAACTTATTATTAAGAAACTGTTCTATTAATAACAGTGCTAACTATACATTTAAAGAGTTAGTATATACATGACATACCATACACTTTTCTCTCCTTGATCTGAAACAGGCAAAGGTAAGACCACTGCAAGATGTCAATATATTCATGAAGAATCAAAGAAGGGAGAGAAGATTAAAGAAAGATAGAGAAAAGGAACATAAGAAACACACACATACAGAGAACCCTCTGTTACATTGATGAGCACTTAGCATTCACCTCACTGGGCCTAAGGCTGTATCTACACTTGCATTTTATTGACAAAACTTTTGGTTTTTTGTGGGTGCTTAAACACATTCCCCCAAATGAACAACAAAGTTTTTTCATAGAAAATGAAAGTGAGAAAACTGCATTGCCTACTGCTTACAAAGTGAAATACCCTCATTGTGGGTGGAAATAGTTTGCTGACAAAAGTGCCAACAAATAGCATTCACACATACTGACTCTTAGTGACAGGGCTGTGTTGACACAAACTGTCGCTAAAAGCTGCAGAGTTTAGACATACCCTGAGTAAAAAATGAATTCAAGCAAACCTGTTAGCTTAACACATAGTAAAAGTAATTCATGAAAAATACAAGATTGGTAACTCGTTATCCAATTAAATACTACTTTACTGATTTCCACTTTTTTGTTTCTCAAGAAACACCCCTAAAACTATCATCCAACCTTACTGTCAGTTCCAACATTGTTATGTAATTGTGTTGTTTTGCTGGGTTATCCAACAGTTACTAATGCTACAAGCAAAGTAGCTTAATACAGTTATTAGACTTTTTTAAAAAAAAATTACTATGATGTTCCTATAGAAATTAACTTTCCTTGACAACAAGAAAGCCTCCTAGTCAAAAAGAAAAAAGTTCCAGTTCAAAGAGATTTTAATTGTGTTAACCTTAGATGTCTCATATTTATCAGAGTATTAACTGAGAAACACAAGCTGCCTTTGATTGGCCCTTGGTAACACAGATAAAGTGTTTTACTTCTGTTTAAGTAAATGCCACCACAATACCTTAGTAGGGAAACAAAAACTGGATGTGATCACAGAATTGTGCTTCTTACCTTCTAATTACTGCATACACTTTGTCCCCCATTACCACAAATTATGCAATTGAGTTTCCCTCATTACCTTTGTGATCACGATATCTCCCCTGCCAGATCATTAGGCTGCCATTTTGCTCCCTTTGAAACAATGAAACTGTCAAACTTTTTGCCCCAGAAGATAGCAGATTTACTTCTCTGTCTGTTACATTTTGGCTGGGTTATTGATATTCTTTGGAGGTCTCTCAGCAGAAACTGTAAATAGATTACAATTGAACAAAAAAAAGTCTCTCTTTAGTTTTTAACCAAAACCAAAGGGGGAAAAAAAGGGAGAGAGGAAAGAAAAAAAAATCAATTGTAGTGCTGGTGCTAACGAGGCTAAGTGGGTGAAAGTGTGTCACACTTAGCTTTTCATGTCAATGGGGTGTTGAATATAAGGAAAGCTGTTTTTATAATGGGTCATCTAGTTCAAATTTTTGTTAGGCCAAAGGAAATAGTATAAAATTTGCATATGAAGGTAATTCCTCACTCTCTCTCTGTGGTTGAGTTATAAAATTATTTTGTAGAAGAATGGCGAGTTTTAAATCCATTAATGTGTGCCCAGGCAGGTTAAAATGTTCTACCACACAGAGAATTAATTCACAAATTTCAAATAAATAGTCAATAAACCAACTTTTCATGCTTCTCTTTTGATTCATTTATCTGACTGAACATACTTAACTCCTCCATGTTGCTTTTCCACAAGTTTGTTTGTATACTGAATCCATACTTGTTAAAGGCCTTTAGCTACTTAACTCCCAACACAGCCAACTAGCCAATTATACTGATATTCTTAAGCCTAACTTGAAATATTTGGTGGATGAGGAAAAACAGATTTTTTAATAAATGTCTAAGTAAAAAGATTAGTAACTAAAAATAATTTACTGCTAAGGATGTTAGGAAAGATATACGCCATTCAAACTGTATGATGGATGAGCAAATGAGTGTGATGCTTCCCCAAAGTTCATGAGGCAATGTTATTGGACATTTGCAGTACAGGCAGTCCCCGGGTTACGTACAAGATAGGGACTGTAGGTTTGTTCTTAAGTTGAATCTGTATGTAAGTCGGAACTGGCGTCCAGATTCAGCCGCTGTTGAAACTGATCAGTTTCAGCAGCGGCTGAATCAGGACGCCTGGGGCAGAGCAGCTGGGGTGCTGCTGGGTTGGTCCAGTAGCGCCGAGGAGCGGCGGCGCTACTGGACCAACCCAGCAGCACCCCAGCTGCTCTGCCCCAGGCGTCCTGATTCAGCCACTGCTGGTAAGTTTCAGCAGCGGCTGAATCTGGACGCCAGTTCCGACTTACATACAGATTCAACTTAAGAACCCCAGGCATCCCCAAGTCAGCTGCTGCTGAAACTGATCAGCGGCTGATTCCAGGAAGCCCGGGGCAGGGGCTTCCTGTAGTCAGCCACTGGTCAGTTTCAGCAGCGGCTGACTTGGGGATGCCAGGGGCAGAGCAGCTGGGGTGCTGCTGGGTTGGTCCAGTAGCGCCGAGGAGCGGCGGCGCTACTGGACCAACCCAGCAGCACCCCAGCTGCTCTGCCCCAGGCGTCCGGAGCAAAGCCGCGGAGCACGGGGGCAGCGGGACAGCCCAGACGCGCCGTGGCTGTCCTGCTGCCCTCGGGCTCTGCGGCTTTGCTCTGCTTTGCTCCCCGTCTCCCTGGTCTGCAGACCAGGGGGACGGGGAGCATTGCGGCAGAACACGCGGGCAGCGGACAGCCCAGACGCGTCAAAGGGGATTGTGCCTTGGTTGAATGGGCAGTTACAAACACCAGAGGCAGTATTTTGACCAGGTCATAGTAATAGTAGATACAAGCAGTAATACAAGACTAGATTTTCTGGACCAACACTGGGTGACCTTTCATCCTGTTGGCCACCATGATGGAGTAACTGGCAATTTATGAAAAGGCTTGGTCCTCTCAGGCTGGGTCTACACTGCAGGCTTCTTGCACAAGAAGCTTTTTGCAGAAGAGATTTTCTGCAAAAACTTCTTGCACAAGAGTGCGTCCACACTACAAAGGCACGCCTTTTGCACAAGAGAGCGTCCAGACTTCACGGACGCTCTCTCGAAAGAAATTTGATTACTACTCACAGAATAGCCACAGAGCACTTGTGCTTTTTTCGATTGGCTCTTTTTGCGCAAAAATCCCCTATTGCTCATCCACACACACCTTTTTGCGCAAGAACGCTTGCGCAAAAAGGAGTTATTCCTCGTAGAAAGAGGAATACCTACATAGCAAAACCCCTCTGTTCTTGAGTCATTGTAAATTTACTTGTGCAAAAACACGCTTGAGATGTGGACACTTTGCGAGTTTTTGCACAAAAACCCTGTAGCATAGACGTAGCCTCAATGTAGAAGGCTATCAACCTTCTGACATCCAGAGGGTGCACCCTGTGCTCTTCCACTGACTTACAAGATTCAGGAAAAAAGACAGAGAAGAATATGTCCTGAGTCATGTGATCTTAGATTAACTGAAGTCAGGTCCTCTCAGGCTGAATACCTGTATCTGAAATCCACATGTAAACTGTTTCTATTTGGCCATGTAGGTTGCTCCAGTAAAGGGATTTCTGCTACCCAGAATGATCTGTTGGACATCAGCTGCAATCATGCAGACAAGCCATCAGACACAGCACTGCCAGGTTCACATGCATCAGTCTGCCAAGGTTCTAAGACAACAGATCAGGCCAGAGTGGTGGCTATAGCAAAGCAGTCACCAAGAGTTCTATCAGCATGCCAAACCACAGCTGATGTAGCCAACCCAGAGTTGTAAGGATTACTTTTCCTCTCCTGTTTGACCTTCATAAGGACTCTGAGGATTAAAAGCACTGGAGGGAAGGTGTACCTCAAAGCCCTCAACCACAGGTGCAGGAAAGCATCTGACAAGGAGCCTCTGTCTCCTCCCCCTGCCCAAATCAAACAGAAAACCTGGCACTTTTAGTTATTCCCAGATGTAAACAAATATACCAGGGGAGTCCCCCACCTTTGGACAATGATGCTGACTACCTCCAGGTGGAGTGACTACTTGCGATGAGACAAAAAGGCCCTGCTAAGGCAACCTGACAAGTGTTTCTGGCTGCACACAGAAATTTCAGAGCCTGAGAGTTTTTTGGCAAAAGGTGAGGATCAGGCTTCTACTTCTTGATGCAGAACATAATAGTGGTATTATTTATCACAACTTGAACCACCCTGCTTTTTATATGAGGCAGAAAAGCTTGACAGGAAAATCGTATCACTTTGAGCTCCTGACAATTGTATGTAAGGAACGATTGTGACCCAACCAATGATCACCCATATGGACTCTCATCCCCGATCCAAAGCTTTGGAGACCAGTGTGACTGACAGGGACAACACTGTGAAGGGGACTCCCTGAAACATCGAAGCAGGTCCAACCTCCAAGCAAGCAATAACCCTGACTGCCTGGTTGATATTAGGTCTGTTGGGGACGTAGGCTAATGCCAGACAGACCTGCAGAAGGCTGATTTTTTAAACATTAAGTACTATTTTCTCCCTAGAACCTCTTCTATTAAAATAAGCTCTTCTATTAAAGATGGACAACTTGCCCTAAGATCAAAATGATCCACCCAAAAATAGAATTTCAAAAAATTTTAATTTCAAGAAAAATGCAGACAAGTTTTTCTAAAAATACAAAAATTATATTTGTGCTATACACTTAAGTTATCAGGACAAAGGATACAAACATATAATCTACTACTTCATGTATGACCAAACATAAGATAAGTATGCATTAGTTATAAATATAATGTGAACATGATTTTAGTACTGACATCTTGTATGACTCATTACATCATAATTGCACTGATGTATCCATGTGACACCAACTTTATCTTTCTTTAGTTTGTCATAAATTTAAGTTCCCATGGAAATGTAAGCATAAAAGGCAGCCAACTGCCTCCAGGTCTTCCCTAGCTTGTAGCCACCATATGAAATCTCTAAGATTCCAACCCACTGCAAAAATCACCTACCTGGACTATATAAGTTTGTAGTACTTCAAATTTGAAGAAACAAGAAATCCAGAAAACATATATTTGGCACACCACTTTGGAGGAAGGCAAAATTAGCTAAAGCAGCGGTCTCCAACCTTTTTAACCACAAAATCACTTTTTCAATTTAAGTGCAACGTAAGATCTACCTCAAACCCAAATACCCTTGCCACACTTCCTTTCTACTTTTTCTTTGAGGCCCTGGCCCTCTCCATACCTTCTCCGAGGCCTCACCCTGCTCATTCCATCCCCCTTCTTACTCCATCCTCACGCACTTTTGCCGGGCTGGATGGGACTTACATTGACTATGTTGATTAGTTGATAAGAGTGCCTCCACATTTGAACTGCCAGGCTCTTGCTACAGTTCAAAGGTGGAAGTTCTGCAGGGAGCGCAGGGCACTCCCTCACTGGCCCCATGCTCCCTGAGATGCCTCAGCCTTTGAAATGTACAAGAGTCCCGACCGAGCTCTTGTATTTTTCAAAGGGGAGCACTGCAAGGGAGCACAGTGTAAGCTGGGGTGTTTCCCACTGGCCCCCCACTCCCTGTAGGGCTTCTGCTTTTGAAATGTACAAGAACTGGGATTATTTAGTTTAGAAAAGAGACGACAGAGAGGGGACATGATAGTAGTTTTCAAGTATTTAAAAGGGTGTTACAAGGAGGAGAAAGAAAAACTGTTCTCCTTGACCTCTGAGGATAGGACAAGAAGCAATGGGCTTAAATTGCAGCATTGGAGGTTTAGGTTGGACATTAGGAAAAACTTCCTGGCAAGGTGGTTAAACACTAGAACAGATTGCCTAGGAGGGTGTTGTGGAATATTCATCTTTGGAGATATTTAAGAGCCGGTTAGATAGACATCTATCAGGGATGGTCTAGATGGTGCTTGATCCTGCTGTGAGGGCAGGGGACTGGACTCGATGACCTCTCAAGGTCCCTTCAAGTTCCATGAGTCTATGATTCCTTTTGATACTGGGAGCTAACCAACCAAAAAGCCCCACTGAGTTTTAGTAAGCAGCAAACAGCCCCTTTCCTTAAAAACAGCTCTTATGTTCAGGACATGCCAACAGAAAAAACTTAAATTCTCTTGCTAGAAGGTTGCAGCATAGTACTACATTGTTTCTGAGAATTCAGAACAATACACAAGAACCCAAAACACACAGGAAGACGCAGCAAGCCTCTCCTTACGGCAGAGAGACACAACTCATTTCATTCTA